TCACGATGTTTCTTCGTTCAATTCTTTAGTAGAAAACGTGCGCAGTAGAGATGATATCTTGTCTGTTTTCCATGTAAACATTAGAAGCTTGAAGAACAAACAACTAGAAATTGATTAATTTTTTGAGTCGCTTGACTACAATTTTAACTTCATGGCATTTACGGAAACTTGGTTTTAGAATGATCAGGATGTAGTACACTTTTTTGGTTATAGATCAGAAGGTGTTTAAAGATCCGATCGTAGAGGTGGAGGAACCTCTTTGTATATTAAGGATGGTATTACTTATGATGTGTTGGGTGAATTTTCGGGTGTTACGGCAAATTATGAATCTGTTGTTGTTAAAAGCGTGGGAACAGTTATTGCTTCGGTTTACCGAAGCAATAACGAGGGAACAGTTATTGCTTCGGTTTACCGAAGCAATAACTGTTCCCTTTGATATGCCCCCCTTTATATGATACTAAACCTTTTTTGAATATATTACTTCCCTGTTTGAATATGTGTCTACAGAAATGTTGCCTATTGTTCTTGTTGGTGATCTTAACATTGACACATTGAGAAACACTCCACAATCAGATCAATTATTAAACTTGATTGAATCATACTCCTATGGAAATGTAATAAATTCGCCAACTAGAATTACAGCATTAAGTGAAAGCCTGATTGATTTGTGTGTTACTAACTTTGAGGAAAGTGATGCTATTTCTGGAATTTTCGCAAGCGATTTGAGTTACCACCTACACATTTTCTTCATCTTTCCTGATAGAAAAAACAGAATATGCCGAACTCGTACTGCTCTTGTTCCTTATCGTAGGTTTGATGAAACATCTCTCTGCTTTTCGCTCAATGATCGAGCTTGTCGACTGGTCAAACATTCACGAGGAAGAAAACCCAAGCATCTCATACGATAGATTTTTGAAAGAGGTCACGCATTGCTACGAGGAAGCTTTCCCTTAACATTATGCGAAAATACATAAAAAAAGCAGAAAACCATGGGTAACAAAAGAGTTACATCAAAGAATTAAAGCACAAGATATCATGTACCGTCAATTTAATAATCTAAAAGACTTAGCGCTTCTTAACGAGTATAAGAAAGTGAGAAACAATTTAAACTTAGACCTCAAGAAAGCTAGGGCTGAATATTATAAAAACATATTCCTTGCTGTTTCCGATGACCCTAAAAAAGTTTGGAGCACATTACGTTCTCGAATTGGTAAAGAACAAAATACCATTCCTAGCATGTTGGTGACTGATGGTGTCTCTTACAGTAAAGACGCTTTGTCAAATAAATTCAATTCATACTTATTAACGTCTGGTACATATTCGTCTTCCGCCAAGCAATTAAACGTTGAAAAATACATAGCTTCCTCTTGTATGAATTCTCTATTTTTGTCGCCATGTAGTAAATTGGAGATCTATTCTTTTCTTATGGGGCAAATAAAAATACTGCGGCCGGTAACGATGAAATCAAAGCCATTCCAATAACGTTTGTTGCAAATTTACTTGCGGCAGCTTTACAACATAGCTGCAACAGAGTGCTAGTTATAGGCATTTTTCCAGCTGCTATGAAAAGTGTGAGGGTAACAATCTTACATAAAGGAGGCTCTATTAATGATTTTAATAATTACCGGCCGATATCGGTGTTACCCTTATTTCTCGAAAGTGTTATAAAACATAATAAAAACAAGGATAACCAAGTTTCTCGATGATCATGAACTACTTGCCTGTGAGCAATTTGGCTTTCGAGCAAAGAAATCTACAGAAATGGCATTACTTGGCATTAAAGAACAAATCGCTCAAAATGTAGACAGCAAGCAGTTCACCCTGAGAATATTTTTAGACTTTTGAAATGCATTCGATTCGGTTAAGCATGATGTTCTGTTGAAAAAACTACCGTATTATGGCATTTGAGGTATTGCTCTAGAGTTAGCACGTAGCTATTTAACAGACAGGTTACAATATACATGTGTTCACGGGTATAATTCCCAGTTAAAACCAGTAACACTAGGTGTGCCTCAGGGTTCTATACTGGTACCTCTATTTTTTATTATTTATATAAATGATATCGTTCATGTGCCAGTGGCTTCTTCTACAGTTATGTATGCAGATGATACAAGTTTGTTCTTCTCTGGCAGCCGTCTAAAAGATCTTGAGAAGAGAGCGTATGAATGCTTGGTCTCACTCGTTTACTGGCTAGATGCAAACCAACTACAGTTGAACGTTAGTAAAACTAAATAAGTTTTATTTAGGAGCAAACACAAGTGTGAAGATTACAGGATTTCTCTCTGGTTCAAAAATAATGAAATCCAATGAGTCTCTTTGTTTAAATTTTTAGGTGTACTTTTTAATGAGCACCTGAGTTGGGCACCTCAAATAAATAAAGTACATGCCAATATGTCGCGATTGATTTCGGTTTTAAGTAAACTTAGGTCCCTGGTTCCAAACTGGTTAACGCTCCAGCTATAATATTCTTTGGTTCATTCCCATCTACATTTAATTTTACATCTGTCTTTTAATTTGGGGCACAACTTCAAAAACCAATCTTGACAGGCTGTTAGCCTTACAAAAAAGGTCTGTACGCTACATAGAAAATCTGCAACCTAGAGAACATACTCCTCCATTTTTCGGCAAGCTTCAGATACTTACTGTCTACCAATTATACAATCTTAAACTCAGCTTATATGTCATTATTGAAATAGGAAACACCGTTGGCACTTATATGGAGCATTGATACCCAAGCGATACTCTTTATGAACTATGCTTTGAGCGTTTTTGATTGCATTTTTTCAGAACAACATATGGTAAGCAAACTTCATCATATCAAATACCTTATCTACTCCACGAATATAGCTATGTCCGTGAACTTTTGAAAGAACATAACAATAAAAACAGTGTGAAGAAAAATGTGAAGATGTACTTCCTTTCTTGTAAGGAGCCTTATTTGTATTATTTATTATAAATATTTCTTTTGTGTCACTCGTGCTTTCGCATATTAGATGAAAATTGCTCAATTTTTTTCTTTTCAAATGTATTTCTCTATGGTACTTTGTGATTCTGTCAGAAATTTCTTCTTGTTGCATTTTTATATATACATATTTTTCTATCGGTACTGCAAATTGGTAATGACTGTAATGTGTTATTTTAAAACGTAAGTGTCGACGTCTGTTATACTTGTTGAATTTGAATTTTGTGTCCCCTCATTCAAAAGCAGAATGGAATTTGTATCCTTTGTTCCACTTAACCTGAGAAAATGTACGGGTGACGGACCATAGTCAGGCAGAGGTAATCTGCCTTTAGTCCCTTCACCCTAGGCAATCATTGTTTTTGTCTGAATAAACAGTGAATGAATTAATGAAACCGGCTAGACAACATAAGCTCACTCAAAATCGACTTGTTCAGGATTAGCTTAATCCGTCCTAATCTGAATTTCATCAGTCCTACTTGGACACAATTTGGTTATTTCAAAATTCACTTGTTCGGAATTAGCTTAATCCTTATTGGCTTGATGTGGCCTTATTTAGTCTAGTCATGCAATTTTCTATGCTATATCAATTTCTTCAAAATCTAGTTGCTCAAGATAAACTTAATGCGGAATAGCTTAATACAGGCTACACCGGATGGGTGTATTCTTCCTGTACTGAATCATCCAGCTAGGCATTCTGAACTTACTCAAAAGTGTATTGTTCGAATTAGCTTTATTCGAACTTAACAATGTTCGCTTAATCCAGTCGAGTCTAATCTCACGGCTAAGCCCTAAGTCATCTTATTTTATCCGGATTAATCTGACATATTCACACTAATGAGCCCTAATCAGTCTTAGTTTGCGTCGATCAGTTTTGAATGGTATCGACTAGTGCTCATTGACTTGTCCAGTCCTATATTGGCCAGGATATAGTCTGCCATTAGGCTTTTTATAAGCTTAACATGGCCGAATATGGTGGCGCAATTGGTGCTGATTGCTACCACCATTGAATAATGCTGAATAGTATTAGTTGGGTTTTTTGAACTATAGTCATACATAAGCTTAAGTTAGCTGAAATAGGCATAGGGTAGCATTACCTAGTTTGTGTTCACTCCTCATGACCTAGCAAAAAGCTTGAGAGTTCCTCCACAATAAAAGTACCATACAAAGATTCTATGTATCTGTAGTGAAGCATTTGGTTCATTCGTGTGCGGGTTCGTGAAACTGTTTGCTCACGCCCAGCAGTCAGAAATGCAGCAGTCAGATATGCTACGACAAGTCAACAACTAAACTCGTTCGTATTGGTGCTTTCTGTCATATACAAACAGGCGCGTATCATTTCCGCCTCCATTTTTTTTCTTCGCTGGCTGTTAGAAGAGATACAAAACATCCATTGGCCTTATGTCAACAAGCTCACCGTGCACACAGCAGCGTGCCGCAATTGTCAAAGAACTGATCTAATAACGTAAAGACAAACACGATTGCAGCACCGTCCCCGCGATGATCTCTCCACTCCGCCTGAGACTTTTAACCAATATGGCTCCTCGCGAAGAACGGCGGCGCAGAGTGGATCAAAAGGAGTCTTCACCCTGACATTGCCAGCAGAGGCACGGGCATCGAAGCGCACTTGTCGCTTGCTGTCGCGCTCACCGCCGTGTTTTTAGAGGTAGTCGGAAGATCGCTCCTAACTTTTTATGTGTTCTGCTCTTATGTCTAAGTGATGTAAAGGTGGAACACAGCACGAAACTGTCTTTGTTAGATTGCGGCCGCGTTTGATCAAGCAGCGAACTACTAGCTTTACTTCGTATACATAACACTTTGCTGCCATCATATTCAGCGCTTTGCAGTCGCGGTGGAACTGTGGCTTTTGTCATGCGCATCGTTATTTTATGCTTTACATTCCTCTTCACGTAACACAGAAATGTCACATCGTTGTCTTCTCTGTATTAGTAATATCGTCTTTTTGCAGGCTTGGCGCAAACGAGGTTCAAGTAAGCCTGCAATATTCAAGTAGGTAGAGCGCCACAATAGCATAACTTACCATACGGTTCAGGGAGGAGAAACAGAAGACTGCCTTATGTCGCGCAACAGACCACTTGCTGTGGTCCTCCCTGCTGGAGAAATACAAAGATCCCTTCTGCGTCTTCACGCTGACGTACACCACATTAGTTATCTTATATTGGTTTTTACAGTTCATGTCTTGCGCACCACCGGCACCGTTTTGCCAGGTCTGAACAGTGATACTGTCTTTTATGTGACCACTGAGCTCTTGTGTATAAACATCTGCAGAAGAAGCAGAACGCAGTCGTGAAGAGCATTAAGTACAGTCTCGTATTATAGTAAATTTATAGGGTCGAGATAACAGGTAAATATAACACACGCACTTCGTCGTAACAGTCGAGCCCCGTAACAGTTTTGCGCCATGGCTATTATTTGAGCAACACATCTTACAGTTCTGGGTATTCTTAGCATCTCAGTAAGATGCTGCATTTACAGTTTCATGCGATCTTCGCAACTAATTATTTCACTAAGCTATGCAACCGGTGCCTTAGTTGGACCAGTGACATGTTCCGGAAGTTCAACTATCTACTTCTTGATTACCCAATTTACTAGCGCATTGAACACTAAGTTGCAAGATGTCAGGTTCGTCATTTGTAGTTTCGTGAACTTCGCATAGGACGCCTGAAATTTTCGACAATGCACTGCCACCTGTTCACATTTATCGCCACCGACAGCAATTCTCTATCATCCGCTCTCGATACCGACCGGCCGCTTGAACTTGTACCCAGGGAGGCCGTTTTCATCACTGCTGCAACCAAGGGCCCGGTCATTGCAGTACCCCCACATGCTGTATATCGGAATCATTCCGCGACTACCTTTCGAATGACCGGCACTCTTCAGAAACAACAGACATATACTGATTGGAGGAGGCAGCGCTCTGGGTCAAGTCTTTGGAGTCCTCGAACTCCAACAACAGACACATCAAAATGGGGCAGTGCGCCGTGCTCACTTCGCTCCTGCCGCGATCCTCCAGCCTGACCGGCTGTTATCTTTCCCTGGTATTAATGAGACTGCAGTGGCTTTGCCCCGCTTGCAGTGCCCGCCACTACTCCGAGAGCAGACGTTCCCTGTTCCTTCTTTTACACAGTCACCAACGGTAAAAGAGCTGTATCCATCTAATTCAGCAACAAGGAATGGTTCATGACTTCCTTGCCCGCTTCCACTGGAGCAAAGGGGAAGCATGGTGTTGCGGCCAGATTTGAAATAAAAGTAGCGTACGAGAGGCGTGTGTCACGCTGATAAAAATATAGTTGTTGAGGTTTAATGTCCCAAGACTACCATATCATTATCAGAGACGCGGTAGGGTAGAGCTCTCGAAATACAGACCATTTGGGTTTCCAAAGCACATGGGCCTGAAGGACTTCCACCTCCATAGAAAGTTGCGCCTCCATAGAAACTTTCGCCTCTATTGAAAGCAGCTAAGTGCCTTAGCCACTAGTCCCCATAGCGGGTCGTGGTTCACCCTCGCGCTCGCTACGTGCGTCTGGTAGTCTGGCCATAGTGTATCAAAATAGGTCGCGAAACTTCGCGTGAAAAGCGGCTCAGAAGCTATTGCCAGCGACATCAGCATAGGGAGTTATGGGTGCTGGGAATGAAGTGCGACTATGGTTGTTTGAAGTGCACAAACACTAATAGTCTAAAACAAAGTTTTATTCAAAGGCAGAGTTATTGTTGTTTTACAAATTACTTTTGCTTCCCGCTACTAATGTATTGGTGCATGTGCAAATAATTATTTACAGTGTTCTATTCTTACAAAAAAGTTTTTCCCTGTGCCCTCTGCGCAAGCCATTCTTATTAAAGACGATAGTCTTTCTTGGCAACCTTCGACGCAAAAATTTTAGTCTGTCTGTCTGTCTGTCTGTCTGTCTGTCTGTCTGTATGTATGTCTGTTTGTCCATCCTTAACGGTTTTGGGTACTTGAAACATCGCTAGCCGATATCACAAACGGCTGACTCCATTCGCAGCACCCACCAATGTCTCAAGATTGAGCGTTCATACTTGCGCGATTGTCAAAAAAAGAAAAGCAATGGTTGCGCATATCTGAGGCATCATAACAATACGTTTATATTCTGTATGTGCGTCTTTTACTAGAAAAGGCTTACATAAGAAATTCTAAGGAACGTAGCGTTTATCACGTTGCGCTGACCATGCAACGTTTGCACGAAAAGGAGAGTGTTCCCAACGCTTTGCTAGGACGACACGGTGGGGGCACCTACCCGTCACCTTGCGTTCTACACCTTATCACCTCTGAGACGGGCGCGCACGTCCGACTCAGGGCCGCGCGCTTCGTTTTTCAAGAAAACTGCCAGATGGCGCTCACGTGTAATGTGACTTGACGCACTCGTTCGCCTCCGCTGCACGCTCTAGGCACTCTAACGCAGCGCCTCCAGAATATATTTCACCGATTTTCTTGCGCAGAACATCAAATAAATGTTTTGTTGGACTATCGTCTTTCGACAACATTTGCAGATTAACATGCAGATACACGGCCAATTGTTTTCAGTGGAGCCTTCGCTGTGCGAGGAAAGTAAAATTATTCTGCGATGACACAACCCCTCACGTGTTTCAGTGTTCCCAATTAGCTCGCATCCTCCGAGTTATTGTGATGAATGTTTTAGTTGTGCGCTACGCGAAGTTGTGAGGTGCGCTTCATAGTTGGGGGACGACGTCCTGAGTACAGTGTTCAACGTGCAGCAGGATAATACGGATAACATCTAACACCGAGTGCTTACATCTGTATCTGCGGAAACGATGTGCTGTGCCCCGCCGCGGTGGTCTAGTGGCTAAGGTACTCGGCTGCTGACCCGCAGGGCGCGGGTTCGAATCCCGGCTGCGGCGGCTGCATTTCCGATGCGGCGGCTGCATTTCCGATGGAGGCGGAAATGTTGTAGGCCCGTGTGCTCAGATTTGGGTGCACGTTAAAGAACCCCAGGTGGTCTAAATTTCCGGAGCCCTCCACTACGGCGTCTCTCATAATCATATAGTGGTTTTGGGACGTTAAACCCCACATATCAATCAAACGATGTGCTGTGCGATGCAGTAACACCAAAAGTATGCCTGGCGGCCCATGTATTCTAGATAAGAACCAACAGTGATGGTTCAAAGTACTGTGCTCGCTCGACTTTCATTGATTGATATGTGGGGTTTAACGTCCCAAAACCACCATATGATGATGAGAGACGCCGTAGTGGAGGGTTCCAGAAATTTCGACCACCTGGGGTTCTTTACCGCGCACCCAAATCTGAGCACACAGGCCTACAACATCTCCGCCTCCATCAGAAATGCAGCCGCCGCAGCTAGGATTCGATCCCGCAGCGTGCGAGTCAGCAGCCGAGTACTTTAGCCACTAGACCACTGTGGAGGGGCCGAACTAAACGCGTGCACTATATCATTTGTACATTTGAATTGGGTGGTGTTTGGTGCACGTATAATGGTAAAGAATATTGCCACAACAGTTTACTCACCGTTCATCCATCTAGGTGACTTCGCAATAGCTAAAACTGCTCTATTCCTCCGAGTATACAGAACGTCAACTCTCACTCCACTGAGACCCCTTATATATTGCTTCTTCAGCAAAGCAGAAAACTTCGGCAACTTTTCTGTCCAACGTAGGTAGCGTTCCTGGTAAACATTGGCACCCTGTAGCTGAAGGTGATATGCTGCGAGACAAGTTTTTGAAAAATTACTGCATAATTATTTTAAATTCAAATAGCTTGAACATCTAAGCATCATTTGGCCAATAATGTGGCCGTGAAACGAAAACTGAAATTACAGCAAGCAATGCATGCTGTGCACTGATATCGGGGCACAAAGCGTCGGTCGCCAATGAAACTGAGAAGTGATGAAATGCGTCGGCTTTTACACATCTATCATCAAAGATTCCAGCGTTATCGCCAGCGGCAGCATTAAGTTCCCGAACCAACTGTAATGTTCGTGTTGAGCATGTAATCTAATCGGAATGTTCTAACATTATCTGGATAGTACCCAATCATTCGGGCGTACTTTGCGCAAGGCAGCAGTTACATTGTGGTGGGGTGGTAGCAAAAACACATAAAGGAGCGCATGGTGCAATATTTAGCAAGTGTCCTTCGAAAATGAAACGACGCTATGCCTGCGCGAAATGCGCGCTAAACAGCGAAGGAAAGAGGGGCGTCTTGTTTAGTAAAGTATCTCACTGGGTTAGTTGGTTGTACATGCTTGAGGGTAACAGCGTGAAAGAAACACGGACAGGACAGTGCTTGTTCCATCTGTTTCCTGTCCATTGCCGTGTTTTTTCGCGCTGTTAACCCGAAGTCTTTTCTAGTACCCCTTGTAAGTTATCTTAGGTTGAGTACTACAATAATATCGGTGGCTTAACGTCCCAATACAGCGATTTAATTTTGAGAGACGCTGTATACAGCGTCTTTTAAATTTACATCATGATTTTGGTGGAGGGCTCCTGAAGCGCGACTACTGCAAGTAAAGAACCAAGCTACCCACTGCGCCATCAGCCATCATAAGCTTTTGTATCGTAGAAGTAGCCAATACGCCCTCATTCATCATTTTGTGAAGAAGCGAGGTACCCCAAACTCATATGAAAGAAATTTTGCACACTTTGTTAATGCTGCTGCTGATGCTTGGACGGATGGATGGGTGAGTAGTTAAAATTTATTGAATGTCCAGAGAAACGACATTGACGCTGAGCGGGCTGCTGCTCTCTTGTTGGGATGGGCAGGCCGAGACTAATTGCTGCATCATGGCTGGTGATAAAGAATCATAGGTGATGATGATGATGATGATATATGGTGTTTTTTGGCGCAAGGGCCATTTGTTGGCCAAAGAGCGCCATTTCATTTTACTAAAAATATGGACAATGATTGTGATAAGCGGCTGTATAAGGGCCATAAAATTCCTCGCGATAAGGCGGGTAAGAACATACAAGTAATAAAATGATGACCATGCCGTGAAAGATGTGTGTGGTGTGAATGATGACAAAAGTTGGTAATAATAAGACAATGGTGGATATGTATGGCATTAGCACAAGTGCCTCACTCGTTCATACCCTTGCGTCCAAGGGCCGTGAGGCAAGTGCTTTCCTGTGTAGCCACCGCAGCAAAAACCTCTCTAGAGAGGTCGTGCTACGGTATGCCCGGGTATATGATGTGAAAATTATGAATTTCCTTTAAAAACGCTAATAATGATTTGTGACTAAAAAGCGGTTCCCTACCGACGAACATTGCAGGGTGTAAAGGTATATGTTGTCGGTAGGGTAATGGAAAATGCTGTTTCCTTATAGTTTCTAAGTGTTTACACTGGATTAACACGTGAAGGACGGTCAATGGTTCACCGCATCTGTCACACAATGGTGGGTCGCCACCAGACAAAAGATATGTGTGTGTCGTGTATATGTGTCCTATCCTGAGTCTCGTTAGTATAACCTCTGTATGACGCGATTTTGATACTGGCAGCCAATGACCAAGGTGTGGCTTGATAACGTGTAGTTTGTTTTGTGTGTGTGTATCCCACTTGCTCTGCCAGTAGTCCCTGAGTTTTCGTTTGAGAGACGGCTTAAGATCAAGGGCCGGGATTGATGTGGGTGTAATGGCGGTGCTTTCGTGGGCGGATGCAGCAAGCTGATCCGCGATCACGTTGCCTTGAATCTTACGGTGCCCTGGCACCCAGCACACTACAACACGTTGATTGAGTGTGTAGAGTGTGCATAAAATAGAGTAAAGTGAGACGAGGACAGGGTTTTTTTTTGTTTTTTAAGACTGCGCAGAGCCGTTACAACACTGAGGGAGTCTGTATAAATTACTGCTTTTTGTATTTGTAGTTGTTTGATGTGTTTAGCTGCCACAAGTATCGCGTAAGCTTCTGCTGTGAAGATACTTGTACTTGGATGTAGAGGGCCAGCATCCGAACAGGATGGGCCGACAGCAGCGTAGGACACAGAGGAGTTGGATATCTGTAAAAAACTCAGGACGTGTGTATTTGTGTTGAAGTTCCAGGAAGTATGTTCGGATATGGGCAATAGGCGCATGTTTTGTAACTTCAAGGAACGACACATCACAGTCTATAATCTGCCACTGCCACGGTGGCGGGTATGCTACAGGAGCCATTAAACTGTGTTCAAGTGACACTCCAGTTTCTTCAGCTAGACCCTTCAGGCGTACTGAGAAGGGCTGCCTCATTGAAGGCCTGTTTTGGAACAGAATGGAGCTCGACAGATCATTAATAGTAGAGTATGAGGGGTGCTTCTTGTCTGCTTTCACCTTCAGGAAGTATACAAAGGACATGTAAGTTCTCTGCAGATGAAGCGACCACTCATTTGACTCAACATAAAGGCTTTCTACGGGGCTGGTGCGAAAAGCACCCGTAGAAAGGCGGATGCCCAAATGGTGCACGGGGTCCAGCATCTTCAAAGCACTTTGAGTCGCAGACTGATAAACAACGGCCCTATAATCTAAGCGGGTGCGAATGAGGCTTCTATACAGGTTGATGAGACATTGCCTGTCACTACCCCACGTAGTACGTGACAACACTTTTATAACATTCATGGCTTTTAAGCATTTTGTTTTTAGATACTTGATGTGCGGTACGAAGGTCAACTTGTTGTCCAAGATTAAGCCTAGGAATTTATGCTCCGCATTGACAGACAGACGTTGACCGTTCAGTTCAATGTCAGGTTCCGAATGCATGCCTGTCTTTCGAGAGAACAAGACACAGGTGCTTTTTTGTGGGTTAAGTCGAAATCCGTTTTCATCAGCCCATTTGGAGACCTTGTTCAAACCCAGCTGAACCTGCCGCTCACACATTGCCAAGTTGCATGACTTGAAGCCAAGCTGAACGTCGTCGACATATGTACAATAAAACATATTGCGGGGGATGGACAAGTGCAAGGAATTCATTTTGATAATAAAAAGTGTGCAACTAAGTACACCACCTTGTGGCACGCCTGTTTCCTGGACAAATGTTCGGGAGAGAACACTGCCCACACGGACACGGAATGTTCGGTTTGACAGGTAACTTTCAATTATGTGAAACATTCTTCCGCGCACACCAAGGTGGGACAGGTCTGTTAGAATTCCAAAACGCCACGTTGTATCATAAGCCTTTTCGATATCGAGGAACACAGAGAGAAAATATTGTTTATGGACGAAGGCGTCTCTGATCTGTGCCTCAATACGAACAAGGTGGTCTGTGGTGGATCTACTTTCTCGAAACGCGCACTGAAATGGGTCGAGCAAATTGTTTGTTTCTAAGTAGTTGAGTAAGCGGCAATTAATCATTTTTTCAAATAGCTTACAGAGGCAGCTTGTTAACGCTATAGGTCTGTAACTTGATACAGTAGAGGGATCCTTTCCCTGCTTCAAAAATTGGAATTATAACAGCCTCCTTCCAGGAGGAGGGGATCACACCTGAGAACCATATGCGATTATAAAGAGAGAGGAGGGTTTCTTTAGTTTCGGAGGGTAGTTCCTTCAGTATCGCGTACATTACGTTGTCAGAACCTGGGGTAGATGTATTACAGCAGTTGAGTGCTGTTCGGAGTTCTGCTAAGCAGAATGGTGCATTATATGCCTCATTTCTTGGGGATTTTCTTTCTAACTTTTGTTTTTCTATTCGTGCCTTGTAATTCTGGAAGGATTCGGAGTAGTGTGAGGAGCTCGATATGTGTTCGAAATGTGTGCCAAGAAAGTTGGCTTGATCCTCCAAGCTTTCCCCGAGGCTATTTACTAGTGGAAGAGAATACGTTTGTTGGCCCTTAATTTTCTTTACCTTATTCCACACTTTTCCCTGATCTGTGTACGAGTTGATACTCGATATAAACTTTGTCCAGCTCTCTCGTCTAGCTTGTCGACGTGTTCTCCGTGCCTGCGATTTGACCCGCTTGAATTTTTCCAGGTCTTCTGCTGTAGGGGAATCGCGAAGCAACGCCCATGCTTTGTTCTGAGTGGTCCGTGCTTTCCTGCATGCGTCGTTCCACCATGGGACTCGCCGTTTAGAAGACATGCCACTCGTTTTGGCAATACATTTAGATGCGGCATCAAGTATAAAAGCTGTAAAATACGTGACAGCGTCATCTATGGTCAGGGCAGACAGCTCAGTCCATGTCATGTGTGTAAGAGTTCTATACCCTTCCCAATCAGCTGACTCAATCTTCCATTGATGAACCTGCGGGGGTAGTTGATCTTTGTTCGGCGCACTCAGGATGATTGGGAAGTGATCACTCCCATAAGGGTTTTTAAGAACGTTCCATTTAAAAACAGGTAAAAGGGACGGTGATGAAATGCTAAGATCTATGGAAGAGTATGTGTTGCTTGCAAGGCTAAAATACGTAGGTTCCTTCATATTTAAAAGACATAAACTAGAAGAGAAAAGGAGCTGCTCAATGAGACGTCCTCGCGCATCACAGTGAGCATCGCCCCACAGGACATTGTGTGCATTAAAATCACCTAGAACCAGAAATGGCTCTGGGAGTTCATCTATTAGTGATTCCAGATCACGTCTGTGTAGCTGTTGATGTGGTGGTATGTACACAGAACATATGGTAATAAGTTTGTTAAAAAGTACAGCTCGAATGGCCACTGCCTCCAGGGCTGTTTGGAGCTTCAAATGCTGGCATGCTATACTACGATCGACTATAATAGCTACACCGCCAGATGGTACAACAGGATCC